CTACAAACTGCCTTCTGTTTTGCATACATTACACATAGCACCTTCGTCAAAATCAAACTACTAAACTTTGAGCATAGTCCTCTGGACGCAACTTTTTAAGCGGACCCTTCACCCAATATGTTCGAGTTGGATGCTGTCAACTTCTGCAGCGAGGGCCTGCACATGGAGCCTTATTTTATTTGTATAAAACTCTGTCCGGTCTTGGAGTAGTACGCGAAAGTGTGAGCACGTTTGTGTGTTTTACACAAAATGCATAATATCTCAGCACTTCCTTCCAATCTTCCAAAACGGATTAATATGAAACAACAGGTTCCACTGTCAATCAGCGCATAAGTAGCCAAGTCTCGGTTTAAAATGCATCGCTCAGACTACTAGTGTGCGAGATGCCATTATAATTAACACTTACCCCACCTTCCAAGATCTGATCAAGGTAGAGGGAATCGTCTTCCGTCTCCTTCAGGAGTACCTGAGACCGCTCAAGGAGATCTTCAACTACGTCTAGAAGTTGTGCGATAAAAGATAGAAAATGTCTTCGCGAGGGAGCAACACGAATTCCTGCAACAGTTCCCCTGGGAGTGTACGACGTTGATCTCGAAGGCGAAGTGAAGCTTGCGATTGTCCCTCTTGACGGAGCTGTAACTGGCCCCGACCGGGCTGGTGGAAAGCCTGCAGTCCCCGCAGTCGCTATTTGCCTTGTCGCCAGCATCGTCGTGTCCCCAAAGCCCATCTTAAAGCATCAGAATCATTTGCAAGATGTAAAAGTGAATTATTATTTTTTTAATTTGATTGACGTTTTCCCTCAAAAAATAGAAGAGATAAAGGTGAGTACCTAACCGCCTCAGATGAAACTGAGGCTCATTACTCTTTACATGGTAATAATAACTCAGAACGGAATAAATTGAGGCTACTAGATCTTCTACCGTTGAGCAACCAACATGATAAACCATTATCATTGAAATAACTGTGGTTGCATAAATCAAGATGGATCACGGCCATATCAAGAACAGGTAATTAAATATCTTTAAGAAGCTTTTCGCTGTTGTACTTGTGCATATTAATCTGTAGATCAGTTGACATACAGTGACCCTTGAGTTTGTGAGATCATCTGATAAACGATCAAACGTAGGTTGTCAAGCGCGCGTGAGAGTCCCAGAAAGTAATTGTGAAGAGCAGATGTGATTGCTAGGACCAAAGAATGTAAACAGTATTGAGAGCTGCGACAAGATTATTGCCTGTGCACAGGTGGTCGCTAAGGCACCCACGTTTGCCTCGGACAAACACTCACCGGTGAAAATGCGGCAGAGTATGGCTTTAAAATGCCAAACACTGTTTCTTCACTCTATGCCTACCAATGGATAAAATCGGGTCTAATCAGCCCAACGCCCGGATTGATGTACATACTAAAGTCACATTGGTGGAGTCTGGATTAACAAGATAACTTACAAAGGAGTAAGGTCAAAAAGGAAGGGTAAAAAGCCCTAACAATTCCGGTTCCCCTCCAAAGCAAACATACGATGGGTAACAAACCTCATCATAAGCACGCAGATATTTATCGCGGAGTTTGCAAATCATGTCATTCATGCGGGTCATGCTGGCAATAGTCCTTTCGTTCTCTTCACTGGTCAAATATAAGTTAAGAGTTCCGCTCCAGTCTTCGATCATGACGGCAAGATATCTGCGAAGGGCCTCCAAATGTCTAATAACGAACTGTGCAGAAACAAAAAGGAAAGAAATACTTTAATTCAACCTGCGGACAAAGAGGCATCAGTCAAGTACTCTAGGACGGTTTTAGAGGAAACTCTAACAAATGTGTTCGCAATACAACGTGAGAGTCGTCGCTGCTAAGGGAGATCCCAGTGCTGACTTTTGTCACATCTATGTCGCTATGCCACCCTTTTTCTACCCCAATATGATCGGATTGTGAGACGGTGATAAAACTGGGGGAGATGGGGATGATGACAATGGCTGATAGTAGGACATTAACGCCTTTCCGTTGGACGCTGACGTCACACGGAGAAATCAGCAGTAAACAGATCTCAGCTGCAAGGAACGGGAGACAGTCGAAAAATCTATACTGGACAGGATGCGTAA